GTAGCAAGATTTCTTTACTGTTTTCAAGACCTTACAGGCAAGGAGGGGCTAGAAAGGAGTATTTGAAGTCATAAAAGGCAAGGACTTACATCCAAGATTACTATGGCCAGCAAAGCTATCATTTAGAATGAAAGGGCAAATAAAGTGCTTCCCAGATAAGGTCAAATTAAAGGAGTTTATCATCACCAAGCCTTTATTATATGAAATGTTAAAGGGACTTACCTAAGAAATAGAAGATCAAAAACTATGAACAGTAAAATGACAACAAACTCACGACTATCAACAACTGAACCTAAAAAACAAAGCAAACAACTAGAACAGGAACAGAATCACAGAAATGGATATCACATGGAGGGTTATCTGGGGAGGGGAGAAAGGTACAGAGAATAAGAAGCATAATTGGTAGGCATAAAGTAGAGAGGGGAGGTCAAGAATAGTATAGGAAACAGAGAAGCCAAAGAACTTATATGTGCAACCCATGGACATGAACTAAGGCAGAGGGCATGCTGGAGTGTGAGGAGGTGCAGGGTGGAGGAGGAATAAAAGGGAGAAAAAATTGGGACAACTCTAATAGTGTAATCAATAAAATATACTTTAAAAAAGATTACTCCTGTCATTCACTTGGTCATTTATTCAGCAAATATTTACTGATATCTACCCTGTGCCAGGCACCTAGGCTCCACGTGATGCAAAGGGATGTCCCTGTATGCACAAGTCAGGCATGGCCTCTGCTGTCCTGGAGCTCATGTTTTGGGGCAAGGTAAGACTATATAACCCTGGATCCACAATCACCTCACTTACCTGTTCAGTGGTCATGGTTGAGGAGAGGCAAACTTGGGGGCAAGGGGTGATCTGCTTTGGCTGAACCCTGGCCTCAAGCATTACTTGGAGGAGTGGGTACTACACTGTAACTATCACCACCAGTCAGCAGAAACAGGTTTGGGACAATAGGGCTAACTGAATGAAAAGGAAGCCAGGTAATAAACCTGGCAGGCTCGTGGTTGAGGGCGGAAGTAGATGGCACATGGCAGTGACTGAAAGTAACTACACAGGATGGTCTGATCACAAGTTCCTAACTGGATGGTTCACGGAGGGCACTCCTGTCCCAGACCTATAAGTAGCTAAAGGTCAATCTTTACCTTAAGTGAGCTCTGTCCATTGTCCTTATGCATCTAGGATAACAAACCTTTGAAATGTCAGGGTAATTTTCTTTTCTAAACCCCTTGAAAGCACAACCACAGGCACTGGAGCACAAGACCAACAAACCCTTTATTTCTGTCTTGTTCCTGGATACCATCTCTATGTACTGCAAATGTTAATTATTAACTATTCTGTGCTCACCAATGTAGAAGAAGTATGTGTTTCTCCATTTTGCTTTTTATCCAGTCCTAGAGATTTCCCCACTTTGCTTTTTCCTGCCACCTTAAGCTACCACCAGTGGAGTTAATGTGGTTTCCTTACATTTCCTCCTTGGATTCTAAATGCGCAAAAGGAACCGCAAAACTGCCATTCTCTGGAGCATTTCTCAATCCATTGAGATCTTGCTTCCAGGCATATCCTCAAAATTTGGCTCAAATAAGTTCTTATAAAACTTTTCTAAAGATTTCGACATTCTTTTGTTGACAGAACCATATTTCTCTTTCTCTCTCTGTCTCTCATTTGCACACACCAAAAGCACAAGAAATGGGTGGAGTAAGAGGGCTGTAAGAACTCTGAAAATGTGGGAAAGACAGGACCCTCAGTAGCTCTAGCCACCATCTTGTGGAATCAGGGGTGTTTACACACCCCCTTCCCTTCTTCAACATTTCCTTGGGTCAAACCAATTGGCTAATGTTAAAATAAAGTTCAAATTAATTCCTCCCCTGGCACTTTTAAAGACATCTAAATATTGGGTCTGAACATCTTCCCCATTCACAATGGGAAACAGAGTCCTCAAGTTCACCCAAGGGAAATAGAGGACAAGTGGCCAAGCTAGGATTTGAACTCAAATTTCCAGTCTCTTCCCATTGCTCTGAAATGCCTCTGAGACTTCGATGACACTCAAAAAAAATGTTGAACTAGAAGCTGGGCAGTAGCAGGGAGGCCCCTGCCCCTAAGCCAGACCAGGCCAAGCCAGGTGTTTTGCAGCTCAGATGCAAAAACTAGCCCTGGCCAGGTAGCCCAGTTAGAGCATCATCCCAGTACATCAAAGTTGCAGGTTCTATCCCCAGTCAGGGCACAAGAATCAGCCAATGAATGCATAAATGAGTAGAACAATAAATTGATCTCTCTCTCTCTCTCTCTCTCTCTCTCTCTCTCTCTCTCTCTCTCTCTCTCTCTCTCTCTCTCTCTCCTTCCCTCCCTCCCTCTAATCAATTAAAAAAAAAAACAAAACTGGGTCATCGGTCATTTACCTATTCTCTGCCCTAGAGCTCTGTGACTGGAATCTGAAGAGGCCACCAGATAAGGGGCAGGGAGCAGGGAACTGAGAAATGCGGGGCAGGGGTTACCAGTTCGCTGGTGGCTCATGGCTGGGGGAGAAGGGAGGACAGAAGGTCACTTTTCTACTCTCTCCCCTGTCTTTGTTGTTACAGTGGCTGCATTTTGGAGGTAGCCCCATTTTCTCAAGAACACCAGTGCTCGCAGTGTCATTCCCAGTGTCATGTCAACTAAGTCCTGACCCCTCCACAAACATCTCTTCTGGACTGTCACCAAAACTCTCCTTTTCCTGTGTCTCCCCAAGGTCACTTTCTGGGGGAAGAAGACAATGGCTGAGACAGGGTCTGCCCAGCCCTTTCCCTCAAAGATCCCAGAGGTGTGATTTCTTCTCTGATATCTGGGGAAGGTGTCTGTGACCCCAACACCTTAATTCCTGGCCTTAGACCCTCTTAAGGCTGTGGGGAGGAAGAAATTTTCCTCTGCCCTTCTAGATTCTTCAGGTTGATCTAATAAGCAAGTCAACAAGAGACAGATTAACAAGAGAAAATAACCGAATTTAATTACATAAGGACATATGACATGAGAGAGTCAGACAACCCCATATACAAGAGAGGTTCAGAGACCATTACAATGAGGTATATATGGCATTTTGAACTAAGGGTGAGGTAAGTTACCTGGGGGCTTCAGAGGGGAGGAAGGTCATTTTCAGGATCAGGGCAGATGTTCAGGAATTAGAAGTTTGCCCTGCCTTATAGCTAGGTCATGAAAAGTTATTTCTGGTAATAAGTCTTATTATGGGCAAGGCCCTGAATTTAAATTCTTTCAGGAAGAGGTCAAAGTTTTTTCATGAGCCCACAGGGTCTTGATTACTTTCAGTTCAAAATAATTCACAGACCAGAGTGGCATATCTTGGGAAGTCCTGTTCTGGACCCTTTCAAGGCCAAAGGACAATTTGGGTTTTGTTTGTTTTTAAATAGTGTGTGCTGAAGAAACTTTCTAAAAGACCAAATAGGGAAACTACAGGTCTACACACCAGAGGGCTCTGCCTGGACCAGGGGGGCAGAGACCAGATTTTGGGGCTATTTCTTGCTATTCGGGGTTCTTAGAGAATGGTCAGCTCAGGAGTGTCACAGGAGCCAGAGACAAAAAAAAGTTCCCTCAATTCTGAATTCTCCTCTAGGTAATCCTTTCTTTATGTTTCCCCGCAGGGCCAAGTTTTTCAAAAAATAGTCCAACTCCCCAGCCTCTACACTTAGTACACAGGACACAGGACACAGTACACAGGAATGTGTCTTTTGCCCTGTGTTAGTCAGTGTAAATAATCTGAGTTGCTGTAACAACTCCCAAACTCAGTAGTTTAGCACCCCAGTCCACTGTGGGAGAGAGGGAGGGCTCTATCCCATGCAACATTCAGAATTCTCAACTATCTGCTTATGACAATAGATCAGGGAAAAGAAAGTAAAAAATGTCACAGAAGATCTTAGGAGCCAGACCTGGAAATGGTGTACATCATTTCTGCCTATACTTCGTTAGCCAGAACATAATCCCACAGCCTTATCCAATTACAGAGTAGAATATGGAATGTAATTTTGGCTGCATGCCCCTACCAAGGAAGCTAGTGACCAGCTCCCATCATTTTACTGAATGGACCGCTCAATTATATTTGACTGTGTTGACCCTTTATTTCATTACTCTCATGTGGGAAGCCATGCTCTTCCACTTCTCTTCTCCTTTGTGTTTTATTTATGTAACTAACATGTATGACACCACATGCCAGCTACTAATTGCTTTATAAACATTAACTCATTTAATCTTCAACACAATGAAGGTATGTACTATGAGGCAGGTACTTTTTTATTCAACCCATTTTATGGATGGGAAAACTGAGTCACAAAGACTTTAAGTAATTTGCCCAAGATCACACAACTAAGTAGGTGGCAGGAGCCAGACTTTTAATCCAGTCAATCCAGCTCCACTGAGGTATGCTGCTTCTTTTCTCTCTTTTGTTTCTCTTCCTTTATCAGTCCTCTGCCATAACCTTCATTTGGTTTACAGGGGCTTACTATCATATTTTGTGCTTCAGAAGGAAGAACGAATTGTAGGCCTACGCTGCCTCTCTCCTCGGTGCCTTTGCTCTTGGAGTAGGTCTCAAGGGTTGGAATGCCCTTCCCATCTCTCTAAAAGACTCTGCTCAGATGTCACCGCCTCCAGAAAACCGTCCCTAACACTCCCACTTTGAAGAACGCCCCCCTTCCATCTTCTGTGCTAGTAAAGGCGGGCCTTAAGAATCACAAGTCGAGGAAGGCTCTGCTTCCGGGCTCGCCTGTTTCACTAGTCAGTGAGCCCAGGGGAGCGTTCTTTCTGGGTCTCACCGCCACCATCTCCTAGCCCCAAATGGGCTGGCGGTTGGAGAGGCCCTACCGAGGATCCTAATATGAGTAGCTGGGAGGGCTTGGCCCCACCCCATTTACCTTTAGCGCACTGAGCCGCCCTACTCCCTTCCAGCTCTCTGCTCCCAGGAAGGGAATGGTACAACCCGAGGGGCGGTGCCTGGATGCTCTGACACTTCCAATTGGCCTAGGGGAGCCGTACCACAGCGGTGGCGGGTGGCGGGGGAACGGGTCCTGAACGGCGGCGCAGCTGGCTGGGAGGCAGTGAGAAGCGTAGCCTCAGGCCCCATCTCCTTTCAGTGCTGCGTTGTACTGGGCTGCCCTCCGGGATGCAGTGGGCCGTGGGTCGGCGGTGGGCGTGGGCCGCGCTGCTTCTGGCTGCCGCAGCTATACTGGCCCAGATGGTCTGGCTCTGGCTGGGCACACAGAGCTTCGTCTTCCAGCACGAAGAGATCGCGCAGCTGGCGCGGCAGTACGCGGGTGAGCGAACGAACGAACGGATGGAGGGCTGGGAAGACCCGGGCCGAGCTGGGGGATCCTGGGGCACCGTTCCCTAGTCCTGGACCGGTGCTGGCCCTAATACTCCTCTGCCCCTGCCAGGGCTGGACCACGAGCTTGCCTTCTCTCGGCTCATCGTAGAGCTGCGGCGGCTGCACCCAGGCCACGTGCTGCCCGACGAGGAACTGCAGTGGGTGTTCGTGAACGCGGGCGGCTGGATGGGCGCCATGTGCCTTCTGCATGCCTCACTGTCCGAGTACGTGCTGCTCTTCGGCACCGCCCTCGGCTCTGGCGGCCACTCTGGTCAGTGCTGGCGGCGGGCCGGACTGGGAGGCTGGGGCTGTGCAAGGGCTCATGCCGCCGTTTCTGTTTGGCCAGGCCATGTGATGACGCCGATACCCTGATATTCGGTGTCCATCTGATTGTCCCGCAGGACGCTATTGGGCTGAGATCTCCGACACCATAATCTCTGGCACCTTCCACCAGTGGAGAGAGGGCACTACCAAAAGTGAGGTCTTCTACCCAGGTGGGTAGGGAGGTTCTGTCAGAGAAGTGAGTTCCTTCGTTTTGGGATGCCCATAGTTGGGGAGAGAGCCATGGCATGCGAAGGGGGTGCGTGAGGGGCCCTCCCCCTGGTTCCCCTATTCCGGAGGTAAGCTACAGGTGGTTTTTTTACTAATCCATATTCCATCAATTTTGGGGGAGAAAGTTGGGTAATCAGAAATGCTCTCATATCCCTAAAGGGAAGGCAGACTGTTGTCTTCCTTTTTTATACAGTGAAATATTTTACAGAAAAATAGAGGTTTGGAATTCAAACTAAGTTTGAGGTTGAGTGTCACAAGCAGGCAAGCACTGTCATTGAGTGGAAGTCAGTCAGAAAACCTCAGAAGTCTATCCCCTTTGTATCTAAGGGGCCCAGCCCAAATTTAGCCAATTTTCTGCTTGACTGAGGCTTGGGAATGTAAGTTTCCATGACTTCTGTACAGTAGCCCATGGTCAGGTGAGATGCTCCTCCTTGGCTTTCCCCCAACAGAGGACATGAGCCAGGTGATGCCACAGAGGAAAATTTAGGAGTCGCCATCTTGGCCTCTTAGCCCTCCAGATTGGCGACCTGGCCAGTGAGGTCAGGCCTTTTCCTTTCTTTAAGCTCTCTCCATTCCCTACTACTAGACAGCCCATGGGCCAGAGAGGTTGCAGCAGTGGAAGGGCAGGGCTAGGCTCCTCATGTGGGTGCTTCCTGTTCCCCAGGGGAGACAGTGGTGCACGGGCCTGGTGAGGCAACAGCTGTGGAGTGGGGGCCAAACACATGGATGGTGGAGTACGGCCGGGGTGTCATCCCGTCTACCCTGGCCTTCGCACTGGCTGACACAGTCTTCAGCACCCAGGACTTCCTCACCCTCTTCTACACTCTTCGAGCCTATGCTAGGGCCCTCCGGCTTGAGCTCACTACCTACCTCTTCGGCCAGGACCCCTGACCCACTGGGCCTGGAGGAGGACCTGTGGGTGGACAGGAGCGGGCAGGCCCGCATACATCCATTTGCTGGAGCCCATGTGAAAAGATGGACATACAACATGCAGATACTGAGTTCCTGCTATACAAGCAGGGACATACATGCTTATACCACCAAACACAGAGACATACGGGAACATAGGGGGCACACATTCAGATACTGGATCCCATGTGTGTGGCAAAATCTTGCCTTCACACCCATTCAGAGAGGGAGCCCCATGTGTATCAAGAGGTCCAGTCATGTTCAAACATACAACATAAGCTTGACTCATTAACTCAGGCCTTTCCAGAGCTTCCCTACCCCCAGTCAGAGCTCTGGAGTTAGGGATGGAGGTGGATATTACACTTTACCTGGGTATGACCCCCCCCTCCCAGCCCCAGCAGCAATTGGGGAAGGGGTGAGGAAGAAGAAGAGTTGCCTCTGGAGGCCCCCTTCACCTGCAGCTGTGATGCCCTTTCTCTGTCCTCACCATACGCCTTACCCCTGTTCTGTTCGCTGCTATGCAAGTGCCCTCATGGCCTATCCCGCACCCTCTCAGCGAGCAAGTCAACCGGGGAACCAGAAGAATGGAGAATGCTGAGTTCAGGGTCCCTCCTATCCTGAAAGCCCCCCCATTTCTCTCTCGGGTATGGAGGGGAGGCTGGCCTCAGCCCAGGATCCACCTCTGAGGAGGGAGCCTGCAGAGGTGGGCTTAGATCCAAGGGGCCATTCCTGGCCTAGAAAGAAGGCTGTTTTTGTGCACACACACCCATTACAGCTTTCAGACACTGCCTGCATTTTCTGTCCATCTGTCTGTTAATAAAGACCTGTTGAACAGTTCCATTTCTTTGTGTATCTGAGCAGTAGGAAAACGTGCTAACTCATGGGAGGCCCCAGGAAGGCCTCTCCCTTACTGTGTGATTTTTATGACAGTGGCTATATACGTTTAGTGTGCCCAGTAATCACTTAAGAGGCTCATTGGCCATACAGATTACTGTGCCTAGTCCCCAGAGTTCAGTTCCGGATTGAGCCCTTGAGATCGGTGTGTTTAATAAGGTCTTCACGCGTTTTGAATGTGTCAGTTTAAGAAATTCAGGGCTGGGCGAAGTGTTCATCTCTCGATCTTGCCCCTACTACTGCTGTCCTGGAAATAGTCCTGAGAGTCTTACCATGGATGGTCACAAGATGGCAGTGTGCACCCACATTTGAACTGAAAGAGGACTCCATCTGCATTTTTCTGGTATTTAGGGTATCTTGTCCACCCCGACCCAGACGGGAGTTTTTCTCTGGGACCCCTCCGTTCTGTGGAGGCTCCCGGGGGTGGGGAGCAGGCACACTATCTGATGTTTGAGGTCGATGGGGCTGGAACTAGTATGAGGCATGCGAGGTGCCTAAGGTGCACTCCAGGGACCCTGCACTTGCCCTCTTCAGTTCTGTGCTCTGGTCACATCGTTAGTCTCCTCCTCCTCCTCCTCCTCCTCCTCCTCCTCCTCCTAGCCCTGCTCGGACGCTGAAGAGGGCCCAGACCACTCTGAGGAGTTCTGGTGTATTCCAAATGAACATCATTATAAAAATTGCATATTCTAAAAAGTTGACATTCTAATGAACAAAGATGCAGGAGACAACAGGTATAACCATTTGTAAGCTACATCAGAGGTTTGAATTTGTGGCTCTGAATGAGTATGAGGCCCAGGCAAGATGGCCGTCCTGACACCACCACCACTATGTTGGCCATGACAGGTCCTGGCTGGCGTCTCCCCTCCATGGATTGTGGGTTGCAAAATCAAGCCTCCAAGGACTTCTCCCACCCTATAGCCCAGCTCTGCCTCTAGGCTCACCACACATCTATCAGGAATGCCTCAGTTTCCCTGTCGTCCCTGCCTCCCACATAGGACTCAGCACCTGGGGTCCTCCCCATCTCTGGTGCTAAGCCCGGGATTATTCTCAACTTTCATTTGATACAATCACTCTTTTTGCATCCTTAAATGGGGACCCAGCTTGCAATGACTGGAAATTGAACCGGTGACCCTTTGGTTCACAAGCCAACACTCAATCCACTGAGCCACACCAACCAGGTCTGATACAGTCACTCTTAAAACACTTGGTTTCTAGTGCACTACTCCTTTGCCTCCTTTGCTAGATCTTACCTGTTAAACCTCTGTTCACTTGCCAGGACCTAATCCTCAAACTTCTGTCTACACCCCTCCCAGGTGATCTCAATCATTTCAAAACTAAATATCATCTACTGTATATGTCTCCCCTGCACCCAGTTTTATTGAGATAAAATTGACATAACATCTTAGTTTAAGGTGTACAACAGTGATACATGAGTATGATGAAGTGATAACCACAATAAGTTTAGTTAACATCTAGTACCTCACATAGTTAAAAATAAAGTTATCTACACTCTCAGCAACTTTCAAATATGTAATGTAGTATTGTTAGCTATAGTTACATTACATCCCCAGGACTTACTTTTCTTATAACTGGAAGTCTATACTTTCTGACCACCTTTACCCATATCACCCACCTCGGGCCTCTGGCATCCACCAGTCTTCTGTTTCTAAGAGTTTGGATTTTTTATGCTCCACATGCAAGTGAGAACATAAGAGTATTTGCCTTTCTGACTTATTTTTTTAAAGATTTTTTATTTTTAGAGAGAGAGGAAGGGAGGGAGAAAGGGATGGAGAGAAACATCAGTGTGTGGTTGCCTTTTGTGCACCCCCTACTGGGAGCCTGGCCTGCAACCCAGGCATGTGCCCTAGACAGGGAATCAAACCAGTGACCCTTTGGTTCACAGGCCAGTGCTCAATCCACTGAGCCACACCAACCAGAGTGCCTTTCTGACTTATTTTGCTCAGCATAATGCCTTCAAGGCTGAATAAATGTGATGGAATATTATTGAGCCATAAAAAAGAAAAGCCTGCTATTTGCAACAATATGGTTGGATGTTAAGGACCATCTATATGTGTTGACTCCTAATTTCTTGTCACAGCCAGATATGAAGCTCCAGATATCAGCTTCATATATTTAACTGCCGGCAGCTCCACCTGGTTGTCTAATTGGCATCTCAAACTTGAAATGTACAACATAAACTGCTTTCTCCCAACCCTGTATCTCCTGCAGTCTTTTACTGTCTCAGGTAAGGACACCACAGCTCACCCATGTGCCCAGACCAATAGCCATGGAGTCGTCTTGGGTAGCTCTTACTCTCTCACATCCCATATTCAAAGCATCAACTGATCCTGTCAGCTTTATCTTTGAAACATATCCAGACTCTAATCACTTCTTGTCACTTCCATGGCTACCCCACTGGTCCAAGCCATCATCATCTCTTGCCTGGATTACTGCAATGGCCTCTTAATTGGTTCTCATCCTTGCCCGCAGTATGGAGAGGTCAGCACACAACAACCAGACTCAGCCTTTCACTCTCTGCTTGGGCATTTCTATCAGCTTTCCATATCATTCAGTCTTTTCACTGCCTCCAGGAACCCACTCCAGGGCCCATGTTACCTCTGACCAAATATCCGCCCATTTGCCTCAGCAACCCTGTTCTAGCCCAGTGGCCGCCCTGCTTTTCTTCCGACATGTCAATCAAACTTCCACCTTAAGACATATGTATCTGCTATTCTGCCCGTAATTTTCTCTAGGTACCTCCATGACTTTCTCCCCGCTCTCCACCCCCTTCAATTTCTGCTCAGAGTCCTTCCCTTAACATTTGTCTATTAGGAGCCCTTCTGCAGTGGTTTTAAAATACCTCCATAAAGTTTTTGATATTTTAAGAGATGAAGCCTAATTCCTTTACCCTTGACTATGAGGTGGAGAATATATATGTATTCCTCACCCAAGGGCATGCCAACTGATTTTAGAGCGACAGAAACATCACCGTGAGAGAAACATTGACTATTGGCCTTCCGTACATACCCCACCTGGGGATGAAACTCAAAACCCAGATATGTGCCCTGACTGGGGATCGAACCAGCAAACTTTTGGTGTAAGAGACGACACTCCAACCAACTGAGCCACCTAGCCAGGGCTTAGTGATATATTTTTAACAAATCATATATGGCAGAAGTGACAGTGTGATTTCCAAGCCTACACCATAAAAAGCATTGCCACCTCTTTAGTCTGGTCACTTTCCCAGGCAAACCAGCTGCCATGGTGGGAGGACACTCAGGCCTGAGGCCCACCTGCGGAGAACAGCCTCGTGCCAGCAGCTATGTGAGCGAGCCGTCCTGGAGATGGATCCTCCCATGCCAGTCGAGATGACTACGACCTTAGCCAAAATTTTCACTACAGCCTCACGAGAGACAGTGAGCCAGACCCATCCTGCTCAGCCACTCTCAGATCCTTGATCAACAGAATTGTGAGAAAGTAAATGTTGTCTTAAGCTGCTACTTTTTCATGTAACTTGTTAAACAGTAATAGGTCACTAATATGCCCTTCCCTCTCTATTCTCCCAACCCAGATTTATGTCTCTTCGTTTCACTCATTTATTTCATTCATTTATGTCTCTTCCTTTCATCTGACAACATTCGCCACTGAAATTATACCCTTATAACCAGGACTTTATTTACGCCTGTGTCCAGCAGTGCCCAGCAGACAGTGGCCGCTAGTTAACACGGAGATCTGGGTCTGTGTGTCTCTCCTCATCTTTGTCTCTGTGAGGTGTAGGATCAGATGGGGGTTATGTGTGGGTGTGAGAGACAGCCTTTTCTCTTCGCAGAGGAGAAGAGATAAATCAGGTCCCAGTTAGGCTTACTCCTTCCCCTCAGCCCTTTCCAGTTGTACCACTCGTGGCTCAGACCCCAAAGGAGGGCTTACTATGTTTGATGGGTTCTTTTTCCTTTGGAAGTAGCTGCCCAGTCCCTTGCCCCTCTCCTCCCCCTCAACCTCCTGCAAAGCAATCTCCAAACTCTCAGAACTGGAATGCCCCAAGCCAGTTTCCACCTTTCCAAAAGGAATCTTTACATCGTTCTCTCTGGATACCTGCTCTTCGAGCAGCCAGGGGAAGCTGTGTGGGGAAAGAGAAGCAAGCTGGGTACAGGAGTTCCACAAATCCCTGCCCCCTGCCCTCTAGTCCCCCAGGAGGGCCCCAGGGCAAGTTTGTCTGTCTCTGCACATTTAATGATTCTCCCCTCTGTGGCGCCAGCCTTAGAGCGGGCCGGGGAGAGGAAGGGGTTTGACTGCCCCGGAACTTACCACACAAAGCTACATGCTATGCGGTAGGGGACATCCGTACTGAAGGTGGTTGGATCAACAAGGCTTACTAGTGGGAAAAGAGTCTGACGCTTAGGTCTGAAATGTGAGTGGGAGGGCACTGGAGTGAGCCAGAGGTGTGAGCAGGACTGAGCCTCAGTGTGGCCAAGGATGGGCCAAAGAGAACAAAGACTTAATGCCCCAGTGGGAGCTGGGCTGGGGACAACGGTGGAGGCTAGAGACAAGGAGGGCAGGTGCAGGATGTCATCCCGGTGAGAAGAGCTGGTGGCTCAGGCCAGGGCAAGCTGGGTCTGAGAGGAGGAGACTGATTGGGGTGAGGATGGAGCGAGAGAAAGAAAGCAAAAGTCATGCCTGAATTTCTACCTCTTGGTGAAATGTACCTGAGAGGAATCTTGCCCCACTGGGTGTAAGGTCAGGGGATATATTTCCGGTGCTGGATTGACACAGCAGTTCCACAGCCATGCCAGGTGTTACCCCCACAGACACGTGTTCTCACCTTCAGGCGGCCCTCCTGCTTTGGCAGGTTGATTCCCCCGTATTCAGGAAGAAACTGGGGGACATATGAGGGTGCCAGAGAGGAGAGGGGTCCAGGATGCTCAGAACTGTGACCTGCCTTCAGGACCCCCAAATAAGGAGCAGCATCTGGAGTATAACTGGGGGTGGGGTAGCCCTGAATCAGTTGGCTGAAGCGGTGGAGATACAGACCAGGGAGTCATGCACACGTGTGGAGGGTGTGTGTGAAGATGGGCAAAATACTGATCACTATTGAAATGTGCAATGAGTACCAGGGATTCATTATACTCTTCACTCTTTTTGTTCATATGTTTGAAGATGTCGGTAATAGAGCATCAAAAGAGCTTTTTAAAAAAAAACTGTGCAGTCCCTGGCTGGTGTGCCTCAGTGAATTGAGAGCGAACCTGTGGACCAAAGGTCGCTGGTTCAATTCCCAGTCAGGGCACATGCCTGGGTTGAGGGCCCGGTCCCCAGTAGTGTGCGCAAGAGGAAACCACACATTGACTTTTTTCTCCCTCTCTCCCTTCCTTCTCTCTAAAAATAAATAAATAAAATCTTAAAAAAAAAAAACCTGTGCAGTTGTGTATCTCCGTGTAGCACATGTACCCTGCTGCAGGTGTGGAATCAGTGCAGAGACCTCTGTGTGTGCACAGGCGTGAGTCCGCCACCATGTGCATTTAGTGTGCAAACTGCAGCGTGCATGCACTTGGGGACAACACCTGGGTAGGACATGGGGAGAAGTTTCCGTCTGTCCACACTCACCCCAGCATCTTGCAGACTGATTCACCTCATGATCACGGGCCCTTGGCTCTCTAGTGGCCATGAAACTCATATGTGAAACGGGGCAGCTGTGTGCTTGAACTTGTGACACGGTATGTTGGTGTGTGAACACGTTTGTGTGTGAATGCGGGCACTCACTGAGTGTGGGTTTAGGGGGCATGACTTGTGAGATTGGGCGGGGCCCTGGTCCTGAGTCCAGTAGCGGTAGGTAGACTCCCCACTCCTTTGCACGATTCCCCGCAGCTCTCCAGCGCCCCCCCCCCCGCCCGCGCACGAATCTGGCGGTGTGGAGGGTGGGAGACACCTGTTGGGGGGCTGGGAGCCACAGAGCCCACCGAGGCCTTTCTCCCTGTGTCCCCGCCCGCCCTGCCCCTCTCGGGTCCCGCCCCCGTGGCCGCGGCTAGCAAAGCGGCGTGAGCGCACCGCGGTCAGAGGAGCGCACGGCGGCAGGAGCGCACAGCGGGGAATCCCGCGCAGGGAACCGAGCGGAGGCTGGGGCCGCCCGAGAGGCGGGCATTGCATAGGGAGAGCCGTGGAGACGCCGGGGGCAGCGGGCCGCGCCAGGCAGGTGAGTGAGGCCGCGGGGTGCCAGGAGCCAGAGAGTGGGCGTCGAGACCCCGCCGCCCCTGCCCACCTGGTTCGGTGCCCGTCCTGGGCTCCGCTCCCGCCGCCTTCTATCCCTGCGCGTCCTCGGTTCTAGTTCTCTGCGTCTCTGTCGGGTCTCTCGGACGGTTTCCCCTGTGTCTCCGTCTCTCCCCTTCTATCCACTGTCTCACCCCATCTCTTTCTAACCTCTCTCTTCCGTCTCCGTCTCCTGCCGCGTCGGTCTGTCTCCTCTCTCTCAGTCCCTGTCTCACTAATTGTCTCTCCGTCTGTGTCTCTCTCTTTGGACTGCCTGCCACTCAGGTCTTTGATATGTATCTCTCGCTCCCCACTCTCTCTTACCTCCCCTGTCTCTCTGCCCGGTGTCGCTACCAGTCTCACCTCTCCTGGTCTCCGTCTCTCCATCCTCGTCTCTGGCTGAGATCTCGGCCTCTCCCATCTCGGTCCCTCTCAGTCTCCTTGTCTCCCCGTCCCATCAACCTTTCTGTCTCCACAGTTGCTTGTCATCCCCCCCCCCCCGCACCCCGAGTCAGATCGCGCTCTCTCACTCTCCCCTTCTCTGCTTCTTGGTCCTTGTCACCCTCTTTGATCTGCTCGGTCTCTACCTGTCCTCGGTCAATGCCCATTTCTGTCTCTTTGGCGCTCGCTCTCTCTTTTCTACCTCCCTACCAATCTCTGGAAAAGCTATCTTTCTTTCTCCTCATGACCCCCTGCACTTCCCTGAATCCATGACCACCACCCCCCCTTGCGTTGGGGGTTGTGGGAGCAGCGGGGCCCAACACCCATAGTGCCCTCCCTCCCCCACAGACGGCCCTTTCCTCGGGGCCCCGCCTGGTGCCAGCCACCCCACCCGCGGGCGGACTGCGCCTGGAAGCCGTCATGGAAGCCCTGCAGAGGCAGCAGGCAGCCCGCCTGGCCCAGGGGGTGGGGCCATTGGCCCCTCCACGCCCATCGCCACCCCGGCCTCCCTTGCCTGGCCTCCGGATTCTGCAGGCCCCAGAGAGGGCCTTGGGGGAGGTTGGGGCTGAGGAAGAGGAGGATACTGAAGAGGATGAGGAGGGGGAGGAAGCCGGGGCCGAGGAAGAGGCAGCTGAGGAGAGTCGTCCAGGAACCTGGGGCCCCAGCTCACCTTCTGGCCAGCCCCCTGGACCTCAGCCCCATGAGTGGACCTACGAGGAACAGTTCAAGCAGGTAGGACCCCCTCAATGTCAGACCCTCTGGTCTGCCTCGTCTCTGGGCAAAAACAGCCTGGTGATTAGTAGTCTGCCCTCTACACAGTGGAAAGACAGAGACCAGAAACCTAGAGAGAGTGAAGGCTAGACAGTCAGAGACACAGAAAGAAGTACACAGGCAAACACTGAGAAGTGCTGAAGACACCCAGAAACATGGAGGCTGACAGATTGGAGGATCTTGGTGAGGCTGGAAGAGAAAGTGGGAAGGGTGTAGGAGCCTTTAAGAATTCTTTTGAGGGAGGGGAATCTAATGACTAAGAATTACAATGCCAGCACCATCCTACCCTACCTTCTCACACAGCAAGTGACAAGGTCATATTTCAGTGATCAGTGGGGGTGTCTTGGGCTGCCTTCTTCTGCCTTTGGAAGCAGAATGGAGGTTGCCACCCCTTTGGCAAGCTGATACCCCCCTCCTGTCTTCCTATCAGATTCCCCTCATTCACACCGTCTCCCTGGCCGGAGTTCTGTGGGTGACAGTTCCCAGCCTGTGAGGGCCACAGCAGCCGCAGGGCAATATCGAGCCCCTGTGCAGCTGGAAATGACTAGATCTGACTCACAGGGCCATATTTGAGTTCTTCCTCCCGCAGAACCCATCTGGACGTTATTCCAAAGCACTACTCCAAGCCGTCACTGTGAAAGCATTCTGCAGGGCTGTGACTCTAGGGGTGGCACCTGTAGGGTGTTGGCCTTGGGTGTTTTCCAGAACTGCTCATCTGCAGTTAGCACTCTGTGGTGTTGGTGTAAAAAGGAGTGTTACTCAGGGCTGTAATATTCTGGAGAAATGGCTGTAGCAACTCTTTCTCCTAGGTATAGTCTGGGAATTATTACTTGGAGAGTGTGTGTGTTATTTGTGGGCATCCATCTAAGACATAGGGCTCAGTTCTTGTAGGAGCATAGCTCTAAGGGTGAATCTCTGAGGTGCGTTATGAGGGATTTTTGCTGTTTGTTTGACTGAGAGTTCTTATTGGGGGATGGACTGTTACCTGTAGGTGTTACTCAGGGACTCTTACTCTTGGGTAAATGACTGTTACTCTAGGGATTGTCCTTCCTGGTGGGTATTTGGGAGATGATATGGGAGGTGGGGCTCTACGTGACTGGGAATATGTGGGATCACCCCCTGGGCCCTTCAAGTCCTGACCCCACAGGTTCTGGGTGACACAGGGCCATTGCCTCTGTGGCAGCTTCTACAGTGGGCAGGTCACTGTCCCCGGAAGGAGATCAGACCAGAAGGTGGGCTGAGGGGCTCCAGGTTTCAATCCAGAAGCTTCTGAGCATATATCCTGTCTGAGGGATGGGTTAGAGTCATCATCCCCAGCCCTGACATGCAGAGATGCGAACAGTCGGAAGCCTTTGCAGGAATGAAGGACAGTGAATGAGTGCCTGCCAGGCAGATAAGCCTGTCAGTCTCCTCAGTGTGGAGCACAGCTCCAGCCTGACTCCCTCCCTGCACTCCGTGCATGCCGGGGAGGGCAAGTTAGCCTCCATGGCTTCCTCTCTTCTCCCACACCTGAGATGGGTGGTTTGACCCACACAGGACACCACTAGCCAGTAGAGGGTCTCTGTGTGTACTAGAAAAAAAGTGCCCCTACCTGCACCCTAATGTCTGGGAGTCCACATTTCAGACCCAAGCTACCCCTTTGGCTGGGGACCCTTATTCAGGGTACAACCTGAGTTGGGGTCCCAGGGGGTGGGGGGTGAGTGGAGCTGGAAAATGACCTCAGTCCTTCCCCAGCTGTACGAGCTCGATGCAGACCCCAAGAGGAAGGAATTTCTGGATGACCTGTTTAGCTTCATGCAGAAGAGGGGTGAGTGGGGTGATGAAGGGAAGGGCCCCCCACTTACCAGGTTGGGTCTTCTCTGCAGAGGCCTGAGCTTGGCAGCACCTATCCTTTGGGCCCTCAATAACATCTTTAACCTCTGACCCTGCCCTTTTCCTCCACCCAGCAATTAATTAGTGGCCAGCCCACTGGCAGGTTAATGAGTGTGGGATCAATTGGGAGGGTGGGATGGGGAACTGGTGGGAGGCTGGTCTGGTGGGTGGGGGGAGCTTCCCAAGAATAGAGGACTGGGAATACCTTCGGTCCTCTTTCGCTGACCCTTCCTCCAGCCTTGTCACTCCTCAGTTTCCCCTTGCACCAGGCAGGGGACAGCCAATGTGCTCTACAACAAGAAGGACTGGGATTACACTGAAGGAAGGACTTCTCAAGGGGTAGGCCGGGGACCATGTGAGTTGGGGCTATGGAGGAAGAGAAAATCCTTCCCAGAAATCTTGGAGCTGAAAGAGAATGCAAGAAGGGTCCATCCAGCAGGGGGTCAGGACAGGTGGCAGTCCATCTCTTAGGCTTCTCCCCAGATTTGTGTGTCCAAAGACTGACTCATTATCTCTCTCTACAAAGCTAATTAACTCACTCAGAGCGAGGCCTGATAAGCTGCTAATTAACTGGCTGCATTGCCCCCCCCCTTCCCCGCCCCTTCAGTGCGGAAGCTGGCCAAAGTCCCTCCGGAACCTCACCCCAGACCCAGCACCCCTTACAGGGCCATTCCTAAGCAGGGATCCTCAGTGGGGCCCCAGATCCCTTTGCTCCTTAGGGAGACCTAGTCATTCTCGTCCCACTGCACCTTCCCTGCTCTTTCCTTGAGGTCTTCCCTCCACTGGAGGTTGGCTAGGGAGGTCTGAGCGGGTCCTAGCACTTCCCCCACCAGGCCCAGAGCTCTGCCTCCCCTGAGTCTGCCTCCCTCAGCTCCCTCTGCAGGGGGAGGGGGTCTCGCGGGGCCGATAATTTTCCCCCATTAATCAGGCCGCAGCTAATTGTTCGGGTCCAAAGGCGGCAGCGGAAGGGGACGGGATCGGTAAGGAATTAACTGGGGCCCATCGCTCAGCGCAGACAGGCCCCTTTGTCAGGCTTGGCCGGCGGGGGCGGTGCGGGCTGTGGAGTTGGCGAGCCGAGGCAGGGGCTGCTTCTTCTCCCATCCGCCGTCCTCGGGCTTCCTGCAGCCACAGGGGTCGCTGCTTAGGGGAGCTGGGCTCTTCAGCACTGTCGGGAAGTCCTTCCTACGGTCTGTGCCAGGCGTGGGCAAACTGAAGCTTACAAACCAAATCTACCCGCCTGCGAGTTAAGAATGGTTATTATGTTTTTACATAATGTAAAAAACTAAAAGACAAATAACATTTCAGACGTGTGAAATTCGAATTTCAGGGTCTGTAAATAAAGTTTTATTGGAACACAACTGCACAGCTGCTTTCAGGCTAGAGTGCCAGAGTGGGGTTCAGAAGGGACCCTTTGGACTGTAAAGCCTTAAACATTTAACTTTTGGCCCTTTACAGAAGTTTGCCTACACCTAGTCTAGCCTCCTGTCCTTCCTTGGGCGCCGTGGGCTCTGCCTGGCACACCGCCACCTCTCTGCCCCTCCCTCTCCCCCTCTTTTCGTCAGGTCCCTCCCTCTATCCCGGTCTCGTCCAGGCCGCTGACTTCTTCAGTCGTCGAGGACGCCCGCAGACTGGGTCTTAGTCTTCCAGTCCTGACCTTCTGCCCAACCCCCACCAGGGACACCAGTGAACCGCGTGCCCATTATGGCGAAGCAGGTGCTGGACCTGTACGCGCTGTTTCGCCTGGTGACAGCCAAAGGCGGCCTGGTGGAAGTCATCAACCGCAAGGTGTGGCGGGAGGTCACGCGCGGCCTCAGCCTGCCCACCACCATCACCTCGGCCGCCTTCACTCTACGCACTCAGTGAGCCTGGCGCGCGGGCCTAGGCGGTGGGAGGGGGCGGAGAGGGCGGGATGGGAGGGGTCAAGGCGCGAGTGGCCCGGCCTCGGGGCGAGGCGGGACCCTGGGCGGGCGTTCGGGTGTGGGCCCTGATCAACGGGGCCCAGCTTTCCCCGTGCACAGATCCCGTCGGCCCCTAGGTACATGAAGTACCTGTACCCATACGAGTGCGAAACGCGGGCGCTCAGCTCTCCCGGGGAGCTCCAGGCAGCCATCGACAGCAACCGCCGCGAAGGCCGTCGTCAAGCTTACACCGCCACCCCGATCTTCGGCTTGGGCCGCCCGCCCCTTCGGAGCACCGCAGCCCCGGCCTCGGGTCCTGGCTCCGCCCTGCTCGCGCCCACGCCGGGTGCCCGCCCAGCCCAGGGCTCCGCCTCCGGTCTGCCGGCGCACGCCTGCGCGCAGCTGAGCCCAAGCCCTATTAAGAAAGGTGTGAAGGGGGAGGGGCTGAGGTTTAGAGGTCGGTGAGACCTAGGGGTACGCTGAGACACAGAGAATATTAAAATATGGGGACTCTGAAACGCGGGAGGCATTGAGGTATGGGGCAGTAAGGACTGATGGGGCTCTGAAATTTAATGCATCCTAAAGTTTAGGGCTCCTGAGGTTTGGTGTCAATGAAGCCTTGGAAGCTCTGGAGTAAGGGTTACTGTGGCGCGGGACTGAAGGTCCTTTATTCAAAAGCCATTCCATTCCACACCTGTCCACTCATGGTTCCTATTTGCATGTGGTTTGTGCCTCCTGTGATCTGGTTTACTTAACAACTGAGAACAAGGAAATCCTCTAAATTGATTTGGACCAACCTAGACATTTACATTGGTCTTTTGGGCCCTCCAGTTCAGAGGCTATAGGCTGAGACTTTGGATGCGAGTGGAGATTGAACTTGGTGCTTCAGCTTGGATGACCGATCTCCTTTGGTCCCAGGCCTGGAGGGAGAACCATATGCAAAGATTGAGTTGGTTGGGCCAGGGGAGCTGAATGACCTGTTCTTCCAGAGGAGAGTGGAATTCCAACCCCTCGACTGGCACTGCCTGTGGGCCTGGCCTTGGGACCTGCGCGGGAGAAATTGGCACCAGAGGAGCCTCCTGAGAAGAGGGCTGTGCTGATGGGGCCCATGGACTCACCTCGACCTGGTGCACACCACGGTTTCCTGCCCCATGGCAAGGTTCCCCTAAGGGGTGAGGAGGGGCTTGCTGCTGATAGGTCTTTGGGCCTGTGTACCGTGGGAGGACAGATGCATCACCTAATAAGCATTGGAGGTGGGGCAGATAGACCCCCTCAATAGACAACTGTGTGATTACCAGTGCAGGGTGGAAGTAGAATGAGTTGGAGGACGTTTATTGAGATGGAGGACGTTTATAGAGATGGAGGGGGAGCTTGAAAATCTGAAGTCTGATTCCCAAAAATGTGACTCCCCTACCCTCTCCTGGACAGAAGAGCGGCTGGATGGGCCTCTCAATCTGGCAGGCAGTGGTATCAGCAGTATCAACATGGCACTAGAGATCAACGGGGTGGTCTACACTGGTATGGGTACCACAGACTGTCTACATTGGCATGAGGTCAGGGGTATTTACATTGGCATGGGGACTTTAGACTTTTTCTTCTAGCATGAGATTCAGAGATATTCACACTTGCATGGGTAATATGAAGTTCAGGGGATCGCTCCACTGGCATGGGTTGGAGGGACTGTCTGTCTACATGGCATGGGGTCCAAGGCATGACCTCTCTAGCATGGGTACCATGGGATGTCTACCTTGTCAATGGTCGTGTATCAGTGTAAATATTTATTGTTTACCTGTTCGAGGGTATCTATATTGGCATATGAGTCTCTAACTGACCAAAGGGTTTGGTCTTCATTGGATTGGTTTGTGGCAGAGGTTTGTGTGCGGTGTTCTAGCAGTCAGGTCACTAACTTTTGTTTCCTTCTGTTCCCCCGCCCTATCCCTCCTGCTTGTATTCACCCTCTATCATCTCCTCACCCCTTTGTCAGGCATCCTCTTTGCCCGCCGTCAGCCTGTGCCAGCTTCCCAGAGCCCAACTAACCCTGCACCCCCAACCCCTACAGGACCTGCTTCCAACACCTCACCCTGAGAGCTCTCACTTGGAATTAAGAGTGCCAGCCCATTGCTGGGGGGAGGGGTGGGAGACACCCTCTCCACCTTTATTCTTCCAGGGGGCCCACCCTAGGACCCAACCCTGGGAGGTGACCACTACACCCCTCATGGACTTGAAGCCAAAGAATTTTCTTTTGATGTTACATCTACCTCATTGTAAAGGGAGGGCACTTCCTCTCTGACCAACTCCAGCATCTACCAAGGAGCCCTGCCTCCAATGCCCCCTGTGTCAATGTCATCTCTAGGACCCTACCTCTTGGAGTCAGACCTGCTTCTTCTCTTCAGGAGCCAGATGAAGGGTTGGGTTGGGGCCTTGTGAAGGAGGTGTCCCTCAGGTCATGTCTGGGTAATAAAGCTGCATTTCCTCCCTCTCCAGTGCCTCTTTTACTTGTTTGGATCTGGGGGATGGGAAGGAATGGTGTGGTATACACAGGCTGCGTTAAGCCAGGAGTTCTCACAGGGAAGACAAAATAACAAAGGTCCGTGAGAGTAGAAGAGTTTGGTCTCATGAATCAGACTGCCCGAGTTCAAATTCTGATTCTGCCACTATAGTACTGAGATGCCCTCGGCAAGACACTTAATCGCTTGAACCTTATTAGACTCTAAAAGATTATGGTATTTCACAGGGCCTCCTATTGATCTACGGGAATGGACCAGTCGTGGATTAATGGGTGTATTTATATGCGCAACTTCGGGGAATGAGGTGGGGAAACCTCTTTGGTATCCTAAAATTAGAAGAAGAAATGCAAAGGTGGTCTTGACAATCAGGAGCTGGGATGGCAAAGAGCCTGACAGTTAGCCGTTGCCTAGGTAACCAGACAGCTTTAGACTCCTTTCGCCGGCCCAGCCCGTTGCTTCCGGCACAGAAGGCCTCAGTCGTGGCGTCACTTCCCGTATTGAGGGGCGCCCGTGCATTTGGATTGGCCAGACTTCATTATTTGGACGGACGTCCCGCCCCTGGCTATTCCCCAACTGAGGCGGGGCGGTAGCTATGGCGGCTGTGACCGATGTGCAACGGCTACAGGCCCGGGTGGAGGAGCTGGAACGCTGGGTGTACGGACCCGGCGGGTCGCGCGGCTCGCGGAAGGTGAGCGATCTTGGGTCCAGTGGTCTCCTTCTGAGGCAGAGCAAGGGCGGTCTCCCGGCGTGAGCCTCGGGATCGATGACTTTCCAATCCCATCGTCCGCATTCCGGCCTTTAAAATAACAATGGTCCAAGACCTTCGGAGCACATTGGACTCTCGGGGTCCATACCCATGTAGGGAACTGCTGGTTATTAATCCCGCTCGAAATGGGCTTAGTGTGAACTGTAACTAAGACTCTGCCTCTACCCTTTCGGGGCAGTTGGGAAGACTTAACACCCTGGGAAAGCTGACTAATGAAAGTTCCAATAAAAGCCTAAGTCCACAATGAAGGGCTGTCATGGAGCCCTATGTAATTAATTGCTAAATGAATTGTGCAGAAAGAGGTCCGTGGGACGTAGAGGAGACAGAGCAGAGAGATGCTTAAGGAAGTCCCTGAGGAATGAGAGGTAAGGTCTGAGAGGCCCAAGATTAGGATACTGGGTGTTCCAACATGGACCAGCACTCCTTCACACCACGTACTGAATTTTGACAACTCCGATGATCAGTTGCCGTTTTTACTATGGGAAGACCTTTCACTGAAGGCGGAGTGTCAGGAATACCTTGGAATTAAGTGCATCGGAGGTAATGATGTCTGTTTGTACACATACACGCTTGTGGAATTGGTTGTCACTAGCAGTTTGTGTCCCATTTGAGTGAGACTGACTTCTTAAAGCATTCTCTCCCTTTGACATATACGACGCTAACCCTTTGGTTTTCCTCCTACCTCTTTAGCTGCTGCTTCTCAGTCTTATTTGCCTTGCCATATTTTTGACCCTTGAATTTTGGCATTCCTCACCCTCTGTCCTAAAACCTGGGTGAGATCATTCACTTCCATTGCTTCTCCATCTGTTCAGCCCTTTGATGTTGGAATTCTTCATCCTCTCTCCTTAAAGCCTAGGTAGGTTCAGTCAGAGAGGTAGGAACCAGGGAATATATAGTATCTGGTAGAGCCCCATAAACGCTAAAATCATTCATTACCTTCCCCAGACTTGAGACTCCCCAAGAACATGATTATCTCCCTCTTGCCACTGAGGATTCACAGAAGGTGGGGTTGCATCTCCTTTAATACAAGAGAAAGCAACCAACCTAGATTTCTGAGGCAAAAGGGTTTGGGAATCTGAGGAAATGAGGATTCTTTACCTCTTCAGATCCTTGAGACAGGTGGTGAATCTCGGAAATAACTTTTACTACCCTTACAGGTGGCTGATGGCCTGCTCAAGGTGCAGTTAGCTTTGGGGAATATCGCCAGCAAGAGAGAGAGGGTAAAGATTCTCTACAAAAAGAGTAAGTGTTTGTATGGGGTGCCTGCCTGTCTTCTTTTCAATGCCTATACTTCCTGAGACCTTCACCCTTCTTCACTGGAGTTGCCCTTTGGGGATATAGAATGTGAAGATATTTCCCTGCTGAAATGGTGAATTGGGGTGTGCATTCTATTCTGTGGTTAGACTTCAAGCCCATGACAGTGACCTAAGTTATGGGATAAGAGCTCTGTCTGAAAGATCCCTCTGGTGAAGGAGGGAGAAACGGTGTGGGATTTCCACAGGCAAGATTCAGAGGCAGGAATTTAATTAGGCCCTGGCCTTGGCTCAGCCATGCCTTTTTGATTGTATCAAAGCTAGCAACCTGCTCAGTAACTAGAAATCAGATAAAGCTCTGGATTGTCTTGGTGGCACTGAGGGGCACAGGGCCTTCCACCCTTGATGAACATAGGTCAGTGGGAATACTGAGGGCCCCAGGGTGGTGGAGGCCATTATGCTTCCAGCTTTAAAGTTTGAAGTCAGCCAGCTGGTGAACAGGGGGGAGAAACAGGGAAGTGGGGAAAGGGGTCCTGGTAAAGGCCTATTAATAGACACTGTGGGTGTCAGCTCCTCACTCAAGGCTCTCCCCAAGGTGGACCATTCCCCCAATATCCTTCATAAAACAGATCCTTGTTATTCAACCCTATTCCATTTTCCATCGTCCTACTTTTCTAGTTGAAGACCTGATCAAATACCTGGATCCTGAGTACATTGACCGCATTGCCATACCTGATGCCTCTAAGCTGCAGTTCATCTTAGCAGGTGTGCACATGCATCTGGGGATATGGGTTGTGGGGGAATTTGGGCACAGAGATGGCCTTCCTGCCAGTCCTAATGGATAAAGCTCTGGAAATTGCTGTCTGGAATTCTGGCTTTCATCTGGGCTGAGGCCAGAGGTCATCCCATGGTTCTCTAGTAGGTATTGGGTGTGGTATACTTCTGAGCCAGCTGTAGTCCATGGTGCTAGTCACAGTGGAAGATGTTCCAATGTTCTATCAATGGCCTACCTCTAGGATTTTCCTTTAGAACCTTCCTCACTTCTGCTCACTAGACCGAGGAGCTTCTAGGAAAGGGTGGGAGCAGACAGTATTGCATTTAGGAGAGGAGAACATTGGCATGAGTTTCAACATCTTTTTTCCATGTGAGAAAGCTCTGGGATGTCAGAGGTCTAGGTGATGTCTGCTCATTAGTCAACTACTCCATGAGGTAGGGTTTTCCAAGCACCTGTGTTTGTTCATACATTGAAAAGATGTTTGATGATCATTTACTGCAGTCCAACTATCCTATGTATGAAGTATACCATGGTGAACTAGAGTGTCCCTGAGCCATTGCTATGGCTCAAGCATCAAGTTCAGATCTTCTCCAGGACTGACTCTAGTCCAGCCTCTCCATCCCTCCCTGTAGCTACTGCCTCAGTGTCCATCCCCTCACACATGAACTGTTGCAGTCTCCTAAGTCCTCTTCTTGACCCTTGTCCTACTCATCTTGCATGTGGTCCAGTAGCTTCTCTCCAAAACACATTTTCAACATGCCACTTGGTCTACTTTGGAAACTCAGAGTGTGTATGTGTCTCTCTCTCCTTGCTAGGATAAAGTTCTAAATCATTAGCTTGCCATTCAAAGCCTTCTACAGTCTGCTGGATCTACCCTCCCACATAGCTCAGTTTCCTGTGCCATCCCTGCTCCAGTTTGGCAAATTGAATTATTTTTCCTCTACTAATTAACAAGTATTCTTGCCTCCAAACACCTGACATAACAGTCCCCCCTTCTTTAGTTCTCTTCCCTTTCTTTGCACCCATTGAAATCCCCTGTGCACGGTCACGCTCTCCTTATTGGACTCTTCTCTTACTGTCCCAGTTCTCCAGAGCCACTGAGTAGAACCTGCCTGGCAGTCTGCCTTGTCTCCTCTTGCAGACCTTCCGTTCCCAGGAGCTCTTGGTTGTGGGGACCTAAGTCTGAATTTATTTGTCTCCTGTGGCCTAGGAGAGGCTCAATGAATTTGTTGCTAGGAGGCTAGAGGATGAGGCCTTAGAATTAAAATTTGGAGGAAGGTGGGATTTGGAGAAACTCAGAGGCTCCTTGGACTCAAGATGAGTCTGACCAGAGGCATTCACAAGAGGTGGGGGCCCAATGGGGGAATGCGCCCTTAGAGAAGGGGCCAGTGGGCAGAACAGCTACCCCAAGCTCCAGGATGCAGCCATCTCCCCTGCCAGGTTCTCAGTCTCTTGCACTGGAGTAGCAGTGCCCAGGCTCCCCTCACTGCAACCATCCTGTCTGTTTATACCTCAGAGGAGCAGTTTATCCTCTCCCAGATTGCACTCCTGGAGCAGGTGGAGGCTTTGGTGCCCTTGCTGGACAGCGCTCATATCAAAGGTACCTTTCCACTACTCTGCCCGAGAGGTGGGTGGATGGGCAAGACTTCCTTGCACCTCAGGTTCCCTGGGCTCATGCTAGTTCTGCCCCTTGTCTTTACCTCTACCCTGGGGGTAGCTGCCCCCTGCACTGGGACTAAAATTGCCAGGGCAGAGAGCTCAGTTTCAGAACCCCAGATAATTTGGGCCTAAGGACAGTAGTATAATCCCAGCAGCCCCACCTCTGGAGATTCCTTCCGCCTTTTACCCCACCTCCCAGCATCTGTCCTCAGGGTGCTGCAGAGCCCAGATCTTACTGTAAGAGTCTTTGCCAGGGATATGAATATGTGTGAATTCTACCTGCCACACAGCTAAGAGCAGTCTCTATGCTTGGGTTTTGACAAGCAGACAGTGACTTTAATTGAATTCAGATATCCATCTTGTCTGTCTCTGGAGGTATTTTTCCCAGCTCCCCCTCCCAACTCCTAATCAGCTACCTCCTAAGCAACTGACAGCCTTAAGCTCTGGGCCTAGCATGGTGACCAAGGCTTCGGGTGTTGGATTGCAGGTGGCCAGCTTAGGGACCTGGCATTTATCCTGAGCCTACCTGCAGGCTCTCTGTTCCCTAGGACAGACAGACCTGGTCCCACTGGGCCAAGTGCAAAGGGACAGATCCTGTGATGGGCAAAGCTCTTTTTACCTTTTCCTACTTACGGTACTAGAGTAGGGGTATGGGTCAACTCTGGGGACCCCAAGGTTTTGTCTTCTAGGGGCCTGTATCTTCCCCTCCTTTTTGGGTCCTAGAGGAAGACTGGGGTGAGCAGGGAGCCCCACCACCACCTCTAGCTGCAGCGGTCGATGAAGCCTGGCGTTTGTTTAGTTTCTCCACTCAATACTCTAATCCTGCCAAAGACCTAATAGACTATTGAGCAGTCCCAGGGGAGGGCACAAGCATCATCGGGCAGTGTGCGTTGTGTTTTACAGCCGTTCCTGAGCATGCCGCCTGCCTGCAGCGCTTGGCCCAGGTCCACATCCAGCAGCAGGTATGGGAGGGGAGAGGACTAGAAGGGGAGGTGGTGAGGCTCCTAGCCCCTACCCCTGCTGCTTGGGGAAATAGCCTCAGGCTCCTCTGATATCAGCACTAGTTGGGGGTTTATACTTTATCTCCCATCTGCCTTAGAGAGGGAAGGGACTTACCTAGAGCCACATCCAGATCTCCTGCCTCCCAGAGTAGGGCTACTCTGAGACACCAAAAGGTTGATGTTGGGAGGTATCCAAGAATTCCTGGGGATAGTGTGTCCTTGACTGCGGGTGGAGGAGCTTCTTTGATTGATTTATTTATTTTAACTATTCCCAGGGTCTACTATAAATTCAAAAAGGGTTCAGAAATAGAGGACAGGCAAGGAGACATACATTAGCAGTAATGTTTCCTTAAACATGTGGTCCACTACCCCTTCTATCAGCGTTAAGACTGCCGTTAGTGTGCCCATCTTGGAGCCTCAAAGTACCCCTTTAGAAATTTGTTCCTTTTGGCTCTGGGGTTAACATCACCTTCACTAGGCTGGGAGGGCGGGGGCGGTGAGGGCCCTGATGAGGCACGAAGGTTAGTGGCAAGTGTGAGCTTTGTCCGACTCCTTTCTCTTACACCCCACAGGACCAATGTGTGGAGATCACTGAGGAGTCCAGGGCTCTTCTGGAGGAATACAACAAAACTGTATCCTTTCTGCTCAGCCAGGCCCCCAAGGAGTGCTGCCCGAAACCCTGTGTTTTTGTTTCATCTGATCCCGTCCCATCCAGCCTGTTCCCCTGCCCTTTTGGCAGATGCAAGATATCTGCACTAGCTTACTCAGACTCCTGTTTTCACCTTGACCTGTAACTAGACATTGCTTCTCTCCAAGCAGTTTGTGCAGTGGGATGAGCTACTTTGTCAGCTGGAAGCCGCCAAGCAAGTGAAACCAGCAGAGGAGTAATGGCTGCTCCACATCCCGGGGTGAGCCAGAGCAGCCAGGCTCTGGGGCCCTGTGCCAGCCTGCCCTTGTAGCAGGGCAGAGGCAGCTCTGTATTTATTGGATTCACAGACTACCTGTCCTCACTCAGGTGGGGCCCCGAGGTCACAGGTCTGGCCATGTGAGATTTCCTCTTTGCACTCCCTCCCTCCCCTCATCAGTGTCCTACTCCAGTGACAATAAACTGTAGAGATCACTAAAGAAGTGTGCCTGCTTCTTGGTCTAGGGTGGGGAGGAAGGTGAGGATGGAAGCGGTGGAGGGAAGAGTTGTCAGTCTTCCTCGTGACTGAACCAGCAGCTACACTCATCCTGGTCTGGCTGTCCGGGAAGTGCAGGGCTCTCAGGAAGACAAATGTCCTCCTTTGGTCTATGTGAATGGAACATTCACTTGTTTCCCTCTTCATGTCAGATTCCATGCCAGGTGGGGAGGACACAGGATCCACCTGATCCCTGCCCTGAACAGGTTGTTGTGAGAGAATCAAGGAAATGGGCAGCCTTGCCAGGTGGGCACAGGGTCCTTTGGGACACAGAAGAAACGGATGGAGGAGGCAGCACAGGGGTTTGAGAGCGCAGGGAGCAGCGTTTGCAAAGGCAGAGAGGATCCTGGAAGTTTCTCAGTTGGTAGCCTCGTTAGTGCTATTGGCCAAGAAGGGAAGACCAGAGAGGTTTAGATACAGGAGTCTGGCCAGGGTGGAGGCCGTGGCGGCGAGGTGGGAGGACTCACTGGGGAATGAGAAGGAGGAAGCCTGATGAGAGAGCGGGCTTCAGCTTGCCACCTCACTCCACCAAGTGTTTGCTGCCCCCTTGTGGTCTCAGGGAGTGCCGGCTCTCCAGACCCCTTTTCAACTTCCGGCCCCATCACCCAACCCACACGGTCTCACAGGCATCTAAAATTCAGAGAATTAAGCCTAAAATTGGGTGTCATCCTAGACTCTTCTCTCCTCTGTCCAAACAGTCACCAGCTCCTCACCTCACCTACCTACTAATATCTCCCAAGTTAATCTACGTTTCTTCATTCCCACTGCCATTTCTCTGGTTTATTCTTTCAACAAATCAACAAATATTTGAGTGCTGGGCACCTGCACTCATAATATTATAGGCTGGGCACCTGATGGGTCTCCTTGGCTACACCTCTGGGAACTAGCGGCCAGGAGTCACCAGCGATTGTGGCCCGATTTCCCCATTCCACCCCCTCCTTCACTGTGGCCAGAGTGAGCCGTGCATATGAACTATTTTGACTGACCCCTGATGAAAATCCCCCTTGGCCCACCAGTGTCTACCGGATGAGGTCAAAGTTCAGAACTCAGTGACCAAGGTACTCGTCCGTGCAGCAGCAGCCACTCCAAATGCAACCTCTTGTCCATGTCCAAAGTGAAACCCGCAGCTTCGCCTTTGCTATTGTAGTGTTCTCAACTAGTAATGCCATCACTGCCATCTTCTAAAAGCCAAATCCTTCTCATCCTTCGGACGTGGGACTCCTCAGATGGCCGCTCCTCTCCTCCGCAGGGTTCTCTCCACCCCAATAGGAGTGCCCCTCCCGGAGGGTAGCACAGCACAGACTGAGCGTGTTTTCACCTCCTCGTCTCAGTTCTTCCTCCGAGGCCCTGGGGCTCCTGCTCCCAGGTCCCGCCCCCAGGTCCCGCCCCAGGCCCCGCCCCCAGGCCCGCCCCTCCCGCCCGGCTGGCGCGGCCTTACTAGCGCGCTCCCGCCCTGCGCGCCATCTTGGCTCCGGCTCGAGCTTGAGGCGAGTGCACCCGTGGCGGTGGGAGTCGGAACCTAGTGGAGTTGCGGGGCGCCTGGGCGGGGGGAGGAGGGCGTGGGGCAGGAGAGGACAACTCCTTGGCCGTGCGGGGAGGGGCACTGGGGGTGGCCCGCGGTTGTGCAGATGGCCGAGGCCGGCGGGCCCGTCAGGAGTAGCCTAAGCAACCCTCCGCGTCAAGCCTGTGTCCTGAGTTTCTCAAGTGACCTGGGTTGTGGGGGATGACCCTGGGAATCTCTCAGAGTGAGGGGTGCTCGACCCTGTCCTGGGGATTTCGGAGCGAGGGAGGAGTCAGCTCTGTCTTTGAGGAGCATTTTGATGAGGGCTCTTGTCTCGTGCATTGGGGAGCTTGGGGTGTAGAGGCTTAGCCCTGGCCCCTAGAAGCACGAGGTGAGGGAGCCTTGTCCCTGTCATTGGTAAGCCTGGGGTGAGCACCCCTCAGTCTTGTTCACGGGAAGTCTGGGGTGAGGACCTGGACCCTGTCCCAAGGAGCCCAGGATGAGGGCGGCCTGGTCCCAATACTAGGGAGCTTGGGATGCCCCTGCTGTGAGGGGGCTTGGACCTGTCTTGAAGGGCCCAGGGTTTGGGGAATTTGGTTCTGTCTCCGTCTTGGACGGAGGGAGGGTTATGGCCCTGTCCCGGGTAATGGGGGTTTATGGGTTATAGACCTTCCCAAAGTGAGGCAGGCATAACTCCTGTCCTGAGAAGCTGGCAGTGAGGGGCTCTGGTCTTGTTCTTGGTAAATCTGGCCTGAGGAGCAGGGCTTTGTCCTGGAGAGCTTGAATTGGGGGGATGGCCTGGGGCACATTGCTGAGCATTCTTCTGATATTTCCCTGCAGTGGGCAGCCAGATTCCCGGAACCAACAGCTAGCAGGATGGAGCACTACCGGAAAGCTGGCTCTGTGGAACTCCCAGCACCTTCCCCAATACCCCAGCTACCTCCTGATACCTTGGAGATGCGGGTCCGAGATGGCAGCAAAATCCGCAACTTGCTGGGGCTGGCACTGGGTCGGTTGGAGGGCGGCAGCGCAAGACATGTGGTGTTCTCAGGTTCTGGCCGGGCTGCAGGGAAGGCTGTCAGCTGTGCTGAGATCGTCAAACGGCGGGTACCAGGCCTGCACCAGCTTACCAAGCTGCGCTTCCTGCAGACTGAGGACAGCTGGGTACCGACCTCACCGGACACAGGCCTAGATCCTCTCACAGTGCGCAGACATGTACCTGCAGTGTGGGTACTGCTCAGCCGGGACCCCCTGGACCCCAATGAGTGTGGCTACCAGCCCCCAGGGGCACCCCCTGGCCTGGGCCCCACACCTAGCTCCAGCTATGGCCCCCGGCCCCGAAGAAGGGCCCGAGATACCCGGTCCTGAAGACCTGCTGAGCAAGCTGTTATCCAGGCCTGAATGTCTAGGATGGCTGTGCCTTCTCTGAGAAGCCTCTGTTACTGCTCAACACCCCCAACAAGACTTGAATCCACAGAAGTAGGCTTCCTTGTTCTGATTCCCCTTCCCTCTGGCATATTGAAAGGGGTCTCAGCCTGGGTTCTGGATTGCTTAAGAAGGGCTTACTCTGCCTTCTATCTACAGTGCCTCTGATCTGCCTTCTGACAGGGGTCCAGGGAGTGGGTTAGGGAATAAAGGTTCTGCTGGTTTATCTCATGAGTCTCTGCTTGGCCTTTGTGTGGAGGTGGGATTAAGAGGGTAGGTGTCTCTGTCCTTGTCCCCCAGGAGCTCACAGGCTAGAGACAGGAATGGTAGGCTCAGGCTAGTGCTGGGAGGATCTAGAAGCATTAATAAGCCTCAAGCCGTAACCTGACTATATCTAGACCTTTGGGTGGTCTACCATGTGCTTTTGGCTGGTTTAGGGACTTTGCCAGGTCAGACATTTTTCTGTCTTTGGCATATATTATAGTGTTTATGATTATAGTGTCAGACACCAGACTGGATTTGAATCTTGGTTCTGCCTCTAGCTTATTAGCAAGTCACTGCTTTGTGCCTTAGTGATCTCATCCATAAAACAGGATATAGTGCTTACCTCATAGGGTTTTTATGAGGATAGAAGGTAGAAATGCAGACATATAACTCTTAGATACCACCTGGGCATACAGTGCTGTGTACATATTAATTGCCTAATTATTAATGACTTCAGCTTACAAACATGCTTTTTCTTATCTTAAAAACATACCTCAGCCCTGGCTGGTGTGGCTCAGCGGGTCGGTCTGGAAACAAAGGTCGCTGGCTCAATTCCTGGTTGGGGCACATGTCTGGGTTGTGGGTCTGGTTCCTGGTTGGGGCACATCAATGTTTTTCTCACATATCACATCAGTGTTTCCCTCCCAAAATAAGTAAAATCTTTAAAAAAAGAAAACACCTCAATCCCATATCTCCCCTCCAGGTCTCATCCTTGCTTTTTTACCTCTTGGTGCTCTTTTCTGTCTCACCGTGGCCTTAGTCTCTTGGATTCATCACAGTCAGGTCAGGGTCATAAGGAGGGAGGTAAAGATTGCAATGATAGCCAGGGAGCTGCCAGTACCAGAGCAGGGTTGTAGGCAGTGGCAGACTGAAGAGTTGAGCCAACTGAGGCTCCCACTGGATTTTTCTTCAATTACAGTTGATGTTCAATACACTGTTTTAGGTGTACAGCTTAGTGGTTGGACATTTATATGTAACTTACAAAGTGATTCCCCTGATAAGTCTTCCCACTGGATTTTGAGGTCTTCAATGTGTCCAGTCACCTGGGTGTCTAGTCACCAGGAAGGCACAGAATTAGGGCTCTTCTAAGCTCACATTGTAGCAGGATGGGCTAAGTAATTTGAGTGCTGAAGTGATGTTTGGCTGAGTGTGGGCAGGAGGGGTTGAGATGTTGGGGAAGATGGAGTTGGGGTACTTATTGGGGTACCAAACAGGGCCTACATGTAAGAGGAAATGCAGGGAGGGGGCAGAGATAGGTGAGGTCTTTAGTGGTTGGAAAGCCTGACCAAACAGCGCGGGGGAGCACAGGAATTGTGTATCATTTCTGACTCAGTTTTTTTACTTCCTACTTTATTCTTAAGCCACTCGATTATGGCTTTTGCCTCCATGTATTTCTTAGAAAAGGTTATGCCATTTCTAAACAGCTCTTTCAAGAAGCTAGATCGTGAATTGGTGGAGAGAGGTGATAAAGAGCTGAACAGGAATGTAGTCTACAGGTAGATTTATTTATTTACTTATTTACTTATTTATAAAGAGTTGGCAGAGACTTGAACATGTTTGTAGGCTGTTGGAGGAAGCCAATAGGAAGAGATGAAAAATGCAGGGGATTGTGGGTAACTCACAATGAAACTCCTAAATGGGTGAAAGGGAATGAGACTCACAAGTCTGGAGGTAGGGACCTCTTGAAGGAAAGAGGAGAGATGATTTCTGCTAACAAGAGAGAAGGAGTTGAGGATGGATATGAATGCAGATAGTGTGGAGGTGAAGGTAGGACATGAGTGATTTAGTAATTCAGAAGGCTTCTATCTCTAGAAGCAGGAGTCCACCTCTGCTGCTGAGAGTGCTCTGTGCTGGTGGGAAGGAGGGGAGACAGTTGTTGTAATTGAGAGCGATAACGGGTTACAGGAGGATGGCCATGCAGGGCTAAAAGCCCTGTTGCGGCTGGTGACCATGAAAATGTAGTGTCACCCTGACCAATTTGGCGCAGTTGGTTGGGCCTTGTTTTGTAAAGCCAAAGGTCGCTGGTTCAATTCCCGGTCAGGGTAAAGGCCTAGGTCACAGTTTCAGTCCTCTGGTCAGGGTGTGTATGAGAGGCAACCAATCCATATTTCTCTCCCTCTCTCCCTCCTTGCCCCTCTCTCTAAAACATAAGTAAACAAAACCTTAAAAAGGAAAAAAAATGTGCTGTCATGTCTGGGTGTAGGAGCTCCAGGAACATTACAGGACAGGTGAGGACTCAGAAAGCATTGTTGCATTCTTTCAGACTGAGGTTAAGACAGGCGGGAATGATGGAAAAACAGTGAGGAGACTAGCAAGAGAGTGTGTGTAGTAAAGGACCAAGGAACCCAAATTCGATTTGAAAAGAAGTGATGATAGAAAGGGGCAGGAGCCGGTGGCCTGGAGGCCCCCACGCAAATGTCTGGAGTGCGATGGAATAGTGGAAAGAAGTAGGAGGGAGCATGGTAGCTGTGTCCGTTTCTGGGCTACTGTGAACAAAGTACCACAAATTGGGTGGCTCAGAACAACAGAAATTCACCGTCTCACAGTTTTGGAGACCAGAAGTCTTGAAATCAAGGTGTCAGTAGGGTCATTTTCTCCTGAAATCTTTAGGGGAATCCTTCCTTGCTTCATCCTAGCTTCTGGTTTGCCAGAAGTCATTGGCCTTCTTGGCTTTTAGAATCATTACTCTAGCCCTGACAGGTGTGCCTCAGTAGGTTGGGTGTTGTCCCATAAACCAAAGGGTCACCACCGGTTTGATGCCTGGTCAGGCTACATACCTGGGCTGCAGGCCAGGTCCCTGGTTGGGGGCCTGGCAAAAGGCAGCCAATGTTTTTCTCCCTCCTTTCCCCTCTTTCTAAAAATAAATAAATAGAATCTTTAAAAAAAAGAATCATTACTCCAGTCATCCATCTTCACATCATCTTCCATTTACGTATGTCTGATTCAAGGTCCAATTTCTCCTTTTTATAAGGATACAAATCATATTGGATTAGGGCCCACCCTAATGACTTTATTTTAACTTGATTACCTCTATAAAGATCCTATTTACAAATAAAGTCACATTTTGGGGGGGGGGCATAAAGATTTTATTTATTTTTAGGGAGAGGGAGAGAAACATTGAATGGTTGCCTCTCACATGCCCCCAACTGGGGACCTCGCCTGCAACCCAGGTATGTGCCCTGACTGGGAATTGAACCAGCCACCTTTAGGTTTGCAAGCCAGTGCTCAATCCATTGAGCCACACCAGCCAAAGCTAAAGTCACATTTTGAAGTACTAGAGGTTAGGTCTATGGCAATACCCCCTGAATGCACCCAATCTCATCTGAAGTACTAGAGGCTAGGACTTGAATGGATCTTTTGGGGAGGGATACAATTCAACCCATAACAGTAGCTAAAGGATGAGATGGAAGTGTCAGTGGCTTTAGGAGTTCTAGGAGCTGACAGGACTTGGTTGTGAGAGTGGATAGCTGAGTGGCCTGAAGGAAAAGTCACTGAAGATGGGGTTGAGGGAATAAGGGGCCAGGGAGGGTGGTAGTGTGTGGGTTAGGAGCATGGGGGAGCATCCAGGTGGGTGATGGAGTCATCCATGATGGAATGTGCTGATCATTTTTATTACCTGCCTTAGAGGTGGCATGTATAATGAGGACTTAAGAACACAATATAACTGGAGGAGTTACATATTTCCTGTATCCGAGCAGGCATTGAGTTCTGCTAGTTTTGCTTCCTTAGGTCTCTCTCCATTCCCACAAGCTCTGTTGGTTTGTGCCCTTCATCTGGCAACAGTCTCATCACTGGCCTCCTGTGCTCTCCTCCAAACCAAGCTACTGGCTGTTCCCTTTGTTTAGAATGCTCCTCTGCCAGATACCATGGCTGTCTCCCTCCCTCCTTCAAGTCCTTGCTCAAATGTCACCTCAGCGAGGACTATTCTGACCACTTTGTTTAAAATTGCAGTCAAGCACTTTTGATCTTCCTTATCCTGTCTCTCCCCCTTTTTTGTTTGCCTTTTAAATATAGTTTACTACTTGATTGTTTTTGTTTATTGTCTGACTTCTCCTCATGAAAATGTAAGCTCCAAATGGACAGGAATCTTTGTTTTGTTCACTGATGTAACCTAAGGCTCTTGAACATAGTAGGTGTTTGCTACATATTTAATGAATGAATGAGTGCATGCATGCATGCATGCATAGTAAGCCTCCAAGTGTGGGACACACCCAGACCTATCATTCTGCTACCTTAGTCTCCCCATGCTCCCCAGATTAGAGGACAAGATCCAAATTCATTCACTGGATGGCCTTAAAGGATCCTCTCTTGGTCACCTCCATGGCTCAGCCCATCTTTGATCTGGTCCCCATGGACCCTGGGCTCTGGGCACACTAATGCCTCACTCTTTCCACGGGCCATGAGATTTCTCTGCCTCTGAGCCTTTGCTTTTGCCATTCTTTCTGCTTGGAACTCATCAAGAATGTTCAAAGGATACAAGTGCTTGGATTTGAGTACTCCTCAGTACTACCTCCCCACTCCCCTCAATTTGTCTGGACCACCAACCAACCTGAAGCTCAGGGATCGAGATGCCCTGGTTCCTAGGGCATCTCCAGCTCCCACTTTGGTGCTTGCACTGGGAAGGTGATTCTGGCTGCGATTCTGAGTCTGACCACTAGGTGGCAGCATTTGCAAAGGGATAGTCCATCCCTTCCCTTTGCTGCGTCTTCAGAGGTCCCCAGGACACTCAAGACAGGAGCCTCAAGTCTAGGCTTGAAATTTGGCCTTTGGTGACCTCAGTGACCTCTTAGTTATTAATACAAAAAACAGTTAATGATCATCCACGATGTAACAAATATCGTCACTGCGCTTGGAACCTCCAGACTCATGAATACTATAACCATGTGTATAGATAATTTCACTATCGGTGTGATGAGTTCAGAGATTAGGGAAGTTCATTAGACCTCAAGAGTTCAGAACCCCTCATC